ATAACAACAACAACAACAACAGCAACAACAATAACAAGAACGATAACACCAACAACAACAAGAATAATAACAGACAACAACAACAGCAACAACACCAATAACAACAAACAACAACAACAACAACAACAACACCAACAACAACAACAACAACAACACCAACACCAACACCAACACCAACACCCACAACACCAACAACAACAACAACAACAGCAACAACAGCAACAACATCAACAACAGCAACAGCAGCAACAGCAGCAACAACAGCAACAACAGCAACAACAGCAGCAACAGCAACAACAACAACGACGACGACGACGACTACTACTACCACCACTACGACGACGACGACGACTACAACGACGACGCAATCGACGACGACGACGACGACAACGACGACGACGACGACTTTTTACTACTAACTGCTGCCACTGCTTCTGCCACTGCACTGCTACAGCTGCTGTTCATGATCGTTCATGGTAGTCAGTATGAATTTTGTTAGTCGTCGTCGTAGTAGTCGCCGTAGCAGCAGTAGTAGCAGGAGGAGGAACATTAGCAGCAGTAGAAATAGATATGCTTCTAGGCTCTCTACGCGACGTTGAAGACTACCGTTGCTGCCCTTGCTGCAGCTACCTCTGCTGCTGCTACGACTGCTGCTGAGCTACTGCAGTTTTTGATGCTGTGTTGTTGAGTCGTCTAGGCCTATGCTTTGGTTGGCCTGCGACATCCTTCTCGATTTTTTTGGAGCCCGCTCTTGCTTGACATTGTTATACTATCAAACGACCATGCCGGTTCTCAGTTCGTGAGCTTCGGGTGTCTAGGGTACTCGCCTGTTAGCCGTGCGCATGTGACGGTGTTCACAGGCTGCTTTTACATGATCAAGGAGGGCGGCAAGGAGGACAATCCTTAGCGGACTTGGAGCAGTTTGCAGTGCACTCGGGCTGCTGCTGCGGGTCCTAGGTAGAAAATGCGGCGCTTTCTTGTGCCCTTGAGCACTCGTTCCCGAAGTCAGTTTGTAGGGACTGGTGCAGGGACCGCAACTGTAGAACTGCAGATGCAAAGTTGCCATGGGCTTCGTCTCTTGAGGCAAGGGCTTGCCGGTGCACAGACGCCTAAGCATCCTGTAAAACTCCTCGAGACGAGACTGGAGATGTCTTCGTGGAAGCGATGTTGGAAGTGAGCGACTCATAATCTTTCTGGAGCATGCTCGCCTCAAATTGCTGCTGCTGCTTCACGGTGTCCCACTGCGGCTTGTCGAAACTCGTGTTGATCTTTGCTTCCTTGCGTCCGGAGGCTGAGACTTGAGATTAGTAGCGCCCTCACATGAACACCTTAAAATTGCAAGGAGGACTTCAGCGCAAAGAAGTGCCTGGATGCTGTTGAGCAGCACCTTGACTGAACGGAGCATGGTAGTGTTGTGATTTCGGGCAGGGGTTGATAAAAGCCAATCAGATTTTCTCTTCATGCAGTTGGGCCAGCTGTGGGCGTATGTATGTGTCTGCGGACATACTTGTAAGCCCAGCGGGCACCTTCCACATCACCCTTAGCCGCACCTGCATGGTCCACATCTGTTCAGCTCTCACACCGCAGGCTGTTCGCGCTGACGGCTCTCAAATCAGGCAGCAGAAGAACCAGCGAACGAGGGCTAACTCCCACATCCTATGCGCATTAGCAGTCGGTGCATATACCATAGCCGTGAGCAGCCATGCCAAGACACTGTCGGGACTACATTCTTTCTCAGGCCACGCTTGTCGGACATGGGATATAAGACGTACATACACGGGGTAGCACTGCTTCAGGAGACTTAAGAGTGGCTTGTGCTGCAGTCTGGTGCTTTTCGGTCCCAGTTCGAGTTACATAAGGAAGCCTCCTTACGTGCAGCCGGAAGAGAAGCCCGCAGGCATCGGCTGTTCCCGAGCTACTGAAATCTGTGCCTGTGTGAAGTGCCCGCTGCCGCCCCCATTCAGCGATCCGTGGTTCATGTCATGGGTGCACTTGTCACCTCGTAGCAGGTGACAAGAGAGGCCAGGCAAAGGCAGCTCCAAAAGGCGGGCGGTGCACGTTGTGCCAATGGGGGGCGGTGCACGGCGGCTGGGCTTCTGGCAGGAGCCGCTTCCAAGCCGGAGGCCAAAGAGAAGGAGGACTGCTTTCACTGGACAGGAACCACATCTTGACGTCTTAGACTTGAGCTTCTGTGAGTCCTGATCCGCTTCATTGCAGTAGGATAAGCCCGCCGAGCCGGCAGACAAGGGCGAAGAGAAAGCAGAGGACAAGAAGGAAGAAACGGCAGAAGCCAAGGAGGACAACGCCGAGAAGGTAGAAGAGAAGAAGTCCGACTGAGCTTATGGAGTGGGTTCTCCGTTGCACTGCCTGCCAAAGGCTTCTTGCTGCACCCTGGTGGGTGTATATGTGGAACATCCACCCGTCCAGGCTAACGCGCATCATTGACAAGACATCCCCCGGATTGCAGTGCGCAGCTTCTCAAATTTATGTTCCACACCCTCCGACCTGGGTTCGCAGCAAGTCGCTGCCATTGTACAGATCACACGGCAGGCCCGCTGGCCGAGAGTATGACATCTCGCTTGGAATGTCGTAATTCGACGAAGCCAGGATCTCATCAACATGTAAAACACCCAGCATGTAACACAGTCATGCGCAAGTCTGAAGGCATGCAGAGAGATTGGCGTTGTTTCCCATGGCAGTCCACGCTGCATGACCATGTTCTTCAGCATCCTAGCTTATTGTCGTTGCAGTGTGGAGCTCGATTTGGAACTTCTTGTCTTCCGCAGAGCGGGACCTTCATCGCAAGACGCCTTTTTCGAGGCGCTGATGTCGCAATGTGTCCGAACACGGAGTTGGAATCCGTGCAACTCCTTGGAGCCAAGTGGAACGAGTGTTCACTCATCACTTCAGCGGTCCAGCATGGCCCAACCCTCCAGTCTCCATGGCTTCATTGGCAATGTGGGCTCCGCTCCATCCACAGCCTGAGCTTGTGCAGACCAAAGTGCACCGTTTCCCTGGCAATGCCATTGTGTCTCTGCACAGTGTCAGCTATAGTATGCCGCCGATTTTTGCATCATGTCGTTGTCCAGAAGGCTCGAAGTCAGTAGGTGGGAGAAGTAAGCCAGCCCAATGTCAGTCAAGCCAATCGAAGGGCTGTCCAAAGACAGGTTGAGCACAGGCAGAAATAAATAGAGTGCTGCAACCGTTCCGCAACTGTCTGAAACCGGCCGCTGAGAACAGAGGCTGCATCCTTAGACGTAGCACTGGTGTGCAGGAAAGGTCATGGGCCTCTGTGCTGCACGTTCACTCTGCCCAGGCGTGTGCTCATATGCAGCCTTCCGCGAAGGTTGGATTCTCATGCTTGCAAGCGTGTTCCTATCGAGAAAGATGGACAGTTTGTTTGGTAAAGGATGCCGATTGGAGACCAGCCGTGCAGAGCTTAAGTTGACTCAGTTGCGAATTCGACTTCCTTCATAAGCTCAGAACCAGTCCTTTCCATTATTCGGTCTTGCAGCCATGCCTGGGACGTTTGGCAAGGTCGGAGACAGAGTGTTCGCATGGTTTTATACGGAGCACTGGCCCCGGGTTTGCTTAGCTGAAATCAGGTGCAGATGCACGAACCTCCGACATATGTCGGTTCCGATCTGCCGCTTCTTGCCACGTCTTTTTGAGGTGGCACACCGCCAAAGTCCGCTCCCTGGAATGGACGGTGTGGTGTGCAGTAGTAGCCCTGGCCGCTTCCAGCTGCTCTGTGTACAAGTTTGGCTGGAAGGTGCGAAGGCTATTCGAGCACGAAGGGGAAGACAAAGTGCGAAACTCACCCACCCGAGTGGCAATGTTTGTTGGCATAGCCACGCATGCTACTTGTTGGCAAGCGCGCTTGCAGGCAGAAGTGCTCTGGGAAACAGAGTTTTCCACGAGCCTGCACCCAAGGAAGACTTTGCCGCTCCTGAGTGCTCGTGAAAGAGCGGTTGCCCGTGACGAAAGCAGCCACTGTACAACATCTTCGGTGACACCAGGCTTCTTGCAGCACCGAACACCTGAAACTTCGTGGGCGCACGTAGCTAGTCTTCCCAGCCTGCTGGAATAGACCGTTCAAGCGTCCCTGCACCGTCTGTCCGTGCATCGTTGCACGTTCTGCCCAGAAAGGCGAGCTGTCGATGAGTTGGCTGGCACCGATGCCTGGCTTGTCGCTTCCTCGGTTGGGCCGCGATGGGCTGCGTGGTAGACTTGTGGGCAGCAAGACGAAAAACACCGCCCGGACTAAAGAAAGCTTCCTGTGCTGGGAGTCAGCCATGAGCGACATGACCGCGTCGAGCAGGAAAGCAGCGGAGCTTCCAGCAGGTGCGGCAGGCTGCACCAGAGCTTGCGGAGCAGACAGTGGCAAGAGACCTTCCCTCCCGGAGGTCACACAGCCTCGGCTGACCAGCCAGGGAGTCAGAGAGCTGTCGTAGCACTGCATGGTACGGCGGCCTGAATGCGGCCAAGGATCCGTGTTGACATGAAGGCTCCCGTGCGCAGATTGGCGACTCACGACAGATGTAGCAGTCGTCCTTTCGGGTTCTTCTGGGTTGCACAACGAGTGACGGATATTGTAAGCAACTTACAACCTATGGATTTGCTTGATCGGAACTGTAAAGGGAAATGCTGAGCAATGTATGTCAGGGCAGGATGAAAAGTTTCAGCAGGTTGCCGCAATGATGATAAGTTATGGGCGGCTACGGCCAAGCGGCTTGCAGGTAGCGGGGGTGGCAGCGCCGCCGGGCCTTGCAAGCCAGCAGCTCATGAGGGAACACTCGCAAAGCTCGGCCGTGCATCCGTGCCTGTCATGCAGGCACTGGAGGGGCTGTGGCCTCTGCCCTGCACTCAGAGTTGGAGGGCAGGGCCAAAGTTCCTTCCGTAGCTCGCGAACGCCGTTGAACTCCACCTGATCTGCGCTGAAGGCGAACTTGCCTCCATCAATGCCTCCGCCTCCACCCCCGCTTTTTGGCTGCATGTCCTTGAGCTGTTGCATCTTGATACAAAGCAATCAAACCTGCCTATGAGGGCGCCTTTGTCAATTGCGAGTATTTCGAGTGCTGCCCTCAGTAATCGGATGCTTTGTTCAATTGTGAGACGCGTTGCTTGGCACATCTCCGTACTTTCTGCATGCGACATGCAGTGGGTATATTTCGTGCATTTCAGCCAGTTACTTCTCTGCCAAATGTACACCGAGCACTTGTAAGAAACTTGAAGATCATTGAAGTCTCATCTTCGATGCCTCGTCATGCCTTTGGCTTGTCAACCACGAACCCGAATCATTTGCCAAGTTGATCTTTGTGTGTAATGCGACAAGCAGGAGGATGTCTGATTGCGGGCAAAGTGCAATGACTGCCTTGGCAGGTTCTTATCCAGCCATGCAGACGGCGCCGACAGCACCACCCGCTTCTGCCCCCAGCACAAACCAAGCTGCACCAGCCGCGCCCACTGCACAAGCTGTGCGGGTTGCCACCGCCGCAACTGTGCCCAACACGCCAGCACGACCCGCAACGGCTGCCTGGTTCTTACGTGGCAGACCGCATGGCATGGTTGCATGAAGCCCTTCAGAGGTCGCAGCTGCCAGAAAAACGAAAACTGACACGAGCCACAGTTCGGAGCTCGGCTTTCCTTAGTGGCAGTTAAAGATATGCGCACCAGCATTGCGCGTCGCAGCTGACAATGCTGATGTTGCTGCCGCTGTTTGCCCGAACCCCCACAGTGCATGCACCGACCACTTCCTACCTTTGTTGCATTGCTGATGCAGGCGGCTTGTTTGCTTTCCCGTGACGGGGCAGTAGCGTGTGTGAGGTCCCCGAGGGCGGGTTGCTGCCGCGTCATTGTGCGACTGGTCCGAAAGTCTGCGGTTGCTGCCTCTGCTGCTGCTCCCCGCTCTCCACAACGACACTTACTACTACAATTACAAGAAGATCAGATTTCTTTTCGAAGTTTCGTGAGCCGCTGCCACAGGTGATCCTAAGGAGCAGCCGCTCCGTGAGCTTCGGGAGTTCTGTGACCATTGGGGGCCTTTGCCTTGGAGGGCTTCTGCTGTTCCCGACAGATTCCAGGAACCTACATAGGTTCAGGGTCTGCAAATTGACTCATTCAGTGGATTAAGACCATTGAAGCAAGGAATTGCACCAAACGGGTCTTGAGGCTGCCCCTCAACCCGTCCCACAAGCCTCGAACGTTCCAAGCATGTCCTGGCGATGGCTTTATGAGTTCGGCCTGTGACGCACTTGAGGTTTGAGGAAAACACCCGCAGATACCTCGTGGGCCTTCCGGCGAAAGTCCAGAAGGCCGGCACGAGCTCTCGTCGGAGCTCTTTTCTTCGCCAGTGCCGTGACAAGCCCAGGTCGTGATAAACAATTTTGAAGCACCGCCGACTGTACAGTGCCATGCACTTATCAGACTTTGGTTCACAAGGCTGCCGTCCTTGCGGCGATGCTCGCTCAAGCGCCTCAGGTGTAGATGCTCTGGTGCACAATTTCGCTAAGAGCATCCTGCTCAAACATGGCTATGTCCGGGCCTTGATCTACGAGTCTGTCTGAGTGCCAGTTTCCGGCGGCAGGCAGTGCCATGTTGATTGTGACAGTCGATAGCTTCCCTTCTCTACACTCGGCCTGGCAGCAGTGCCAAATCAGGAGGATCTGGACATGGACCAGTTCGTTGCCCGTTGGTCCCTCCGCCCTTCTCTGCCTGTCTGGGGCTTCGCTGAGATCGGAGGGACGCAGCATAGACGGCGAAAGGTGTCGCAGAGGTTGTTCAGGGTTCTCGTGGAACAAGGAGTAAAGTGCAACAGGTCATCTTGTCAAGCTGGCTGCGCCTGCTAGATGGTCGGGCATGGCCGGCAGAAGGCAGTTCTTCCAGACTGGAGCTTGTGTTGACTCGCATGCGTTCTCCCCCTGCTGCCACACCAGAAGCCTTTCAGTCTTTCTTGCCGCTGACAGCCGAACTCGGTTTTCAGTGCATCGCTATAAGTATTCTTTAAGCTCAGATTCTCCATATCGCCGCATGTTTGATGGAGGGGCTTGTGCAGACTTTGACTTTGACCTAAACCGGAGATGCAGAGTATGTCGGGTCGTTCTCTCACTAAGCGGACACACTTCCAAAGGCCTTCGTGAGGGATCAAAGCAGTGGACAAGTCGGAACATGATGCGCCTTACCAGCCACCATGCGACGAGACGCGCCTGTCACAGTCGCTCTGGTCCATGGTGACTTAAGGCAGCAGTCGGCCATTGCAAACATGGCAGCCGCGTGTTGGCCTTGTGGCTGCGGTGTGCCGTTACGGCACACCACTGGTGCTTGTCAAAGTCTGAACCCTCTTTTTCCGCTGCCGTTTTTGGCTCATCTCAAGGGCGGCGAGCCACAGAGGCCCCAAAAGGCCGGAGCGCGGAAGGGTTTCCGCACCCTTTGCCTTTCTAGAGACAGCTACAGGGATCCCACAATCCCTGGTGCGCACTGGTAACGATGGGAGGCCATGGAGGACGCCAAGCGACCGGTCTTTGGGGCCGAGGCGGAGCGCGCGGGCCCCAGAGGAGCGTGAAAAAAGGTGAGGCACCGCACCAGACTCATTGACTGGAGGCAAGAGAGCTCAAGCATCGTGTGCTAGGATGACGATCCCGAGGTATCGGCACCCGATTGGATGAGGCAACCGATGAGTTCCTCAAGGCCTATCGCCACCGTCCTTTGGTGACTGCCTCCCTGCAGATGGAAGCCCGTGGCAGGAAACAAAAAGCTGCCGGGCCCTGCAGATCCCACCCGGGCAAGATCAGTTGACCGCAATGGAGCCCTCCGGCACAAGAAAGGACGGACAAGCTTCGCGGGCTTTTTTGAATGGCTGCATGCTATCTGGGCTCATGTAAGGTATGTGGCCTATTTGGGCATCAACCTGCAGTTGGAGCCAGAGCTTTCCTGGGTGGCGCGGGAGACTTCGGCAAAAGACAGACTGAAGCAAGGGTGCATGGCTCCGCATGTTGTTGATCTACGTCTCCACGGCCTTCGCCCTATTCCGAGGAGATGCTTGCTGCTCCTATGCCACCTCAAGCCGAGATGAAGGTTAGCAAGGTGCACGAGAGTTGTGTGTGCCTTCAGTACCGATTTGATTAGGGGATTATGCGGAGCAATCGCAGGGGTAGGATGGGTGCGAAACGACACGAGCTCTGGCAGGCCGGCGTTTGTTACTTTCACGCCGCCTGGCCTGAAAGTGATTCAAGTTCGGCTGTGTTGATGGAGTCCTATGGGCTTCGCGAAGCAAAGCCAAGGACTTGCTCAATGATTATTACACCATCGAGCACCCTTTGACACAGAGGCGCAAGCAGTGTCAAAGCCGCGGCCTGTGCTTGGCCGGACAGAACTTAGTCCTTGAGGTACCTGAAAGTCTTGGAGCGCCAGCGGCTAGATCTCTTGTGTCTGCGGACAAAGCCGTGCCTTGCTCGGCAACTGACCTCGCTGCCCCGCTGGTGTCGGAGACCTGTGCTTTCGACAGGTCCGTGAATGGCCTCCTTTTCTCGCAGCCGGACATGCTCTTCAACAAGCAGTGCGGGACTCAGTGTTGCTGCTAGTCCCTTAGTCGTGGCTTCTTAGGAATCACCAGATCTGTGGTTTTTCTGAGGTTTCGCAACCTTCAGATTCCGTGTCAATCCTGCGGGGTGATGCAGTCCACACTGAAGTGCAACCAGCCATTCGGCCCCGGATGGATTTGCACGCTTTTCGAGTTGTGTTTCGGTCAGCTTCGCGGTGGCCCTTTGTCCTGTGCCGAGGTGCCTCATGTCCTTCTGCCAATCTTGCGCAGATGCCCTGCACAAGAATGCGCTGGGTCCCAGGAGCCTTCCCGCAATTTCCTATAGGCTCTTAAAGGTCCCTATATATGAGAGGTGAGTGTGGGGGCTGCTTCGAGCCAGAACAATCTCGGGGCTGGCATGTGACGAGCCGTGACGGTGCCTCTACCCGCCTCCGCAGTTTGGCTCGAACTTGGATGTCGGCTTGGATGCGCGATCATGCCGGAACGCCGCGTGGATCCAGACGACGGCAATACGTACACGTCCCTCGGCGGAGTGAGGTCTGAACCGTGTTTCTTTCGGTTCGGGCAAAGAGATTCCAATGCTGCAAGGTTTGACGAGGTGTTTGCCCACTACAAGGCAGGGCATGTGATTCCATCGGAAACGCTTCTGGGGGGGGTGTATCTTTGCCAGGCAGAGGGCTACACCAAGAAAGAGGTGCAGAGTTACTGGGACCAGGCATTGAGCAATCTGACATAACAGCATCACGTTCTTTTTGTTCGCTTGTCTTGCACATTGGAACATGTCCACGGAGGAAGGATACTACTTGTAATTCACGTGATGGGCTAGCAGGGCTTTCAATCTCTGTCTTCTGGAAAGTGCACCGACGTCGTATTCGAAAAGCAGAGTTGCGCAGCATACCGGAACGGTCAGAAGCAGAAATTCTGGTGTGGGGCCGAGGGAAGCGACACGAGCATGCAAGCAGCACGTTACTCGGGGAGCGTAGTTAAGTTCTTCCAACCGCAGTCGTCTACTTGTGCATGCAAGCATGATGCACGTGTGCTTGCCTGCTTTCCTAAATACACCTCTTCGCGAGCTGCCGCTTAATGGAGGTTTGCAAGCCTGCGAAAGCGACAAAGGAACCCAAGGCCGGACTCGATTTCAGTGACGTGGCTGCTTTTCGCAGCCTAACCTGCAGGCTGTCAAATCAAAAGCGACCCCTCCACCCAAGGCAGGTGAATGCCGAATGCAAGTGCACTCGACACCACTCGACATGCTTCAGTGAGGCGCGCAGTGAGCTGTGTGCAGGCCAAAGCCGAGAAGCCGGCAAAGGCCAAGGCCGCGCGCTTGAAGAAGGGCGCGAAGGGGTGCAACCTGGGTTTTCGGGCGGGGTGACCTCGGCTGAGGTCAAGGCCGCTCCAAAGGCGCAGGCGCAGTTGCACATAAGTTAGGGATTCGAAGGAGGCAGACGTGCAGAACAGGTCGGCTTGTTTCAGATCTCTCTTCCGCAGAGGTGCAGCCGGAGCCAAAGCCAAAGGCCAAGGTGGGACCGATGAAGGCCAGGACATGTTGTTGAGCCTTGGAACAAGATGATGACAGGCCAAAGCTTTGCGTGGTGCCAAGGACACCGTGGCAGAGGCGCGAAGTTCGTGTTTTTGGTGCAGCATCCTCCAGGTTAGAGTGCATATAGCCTAGAGGACCCGTCCATGATGCGGACAAGCACACGTCTGCCCAGAACGCGGGCAGTTCTCAAAAACATGTGGCTCGGCAAAGGGCGCAGAGACGGGCTTCCTTCGCCAGGGTGCAAAGCTGAGGAGGAGACGGGACAAGGACTGGCGAATCGGAGCCATTGTGTACCAGCTCTTCGTGGACCGCTTCGCACCACCCGATGACTTCGAGGCCAAGAAGAAGCTGTATCCAGATGTCGCGGCCTCGGCGATGAGACGAAGGATTTTGAAGTAGGGGAAGCTATGCTCGACAGCACAGCTTCGAAACGGTTAAGATGAAACACAGAATGGCTTGCAAGTCTCGTCTCTCTTGCCAAACCGATTCGAAACATCTTGAGGAAGCCACCTTCCACGGCTGGAAAGAACTGCCGAAGGGGGGACAGCTTGTGGAATCGGCTGGATATTACAGCCACTGGTGCAGCACTTGGCCTCCGGAGCTTGTCCGGACTGACTAGAAGCGCTTGAGGCAACGAGCTGGCTTTCTGGGGTGGGGACTTGCCGAGCCTCACTTCAAAACTGGACTACATCGACGGCTTAGGTGGGAACCCTGAGCCTCAAATCCTTGCATTGGGGCAGTGCCCGGTGCCCTTTCCTGCAGGAATCGATGTGCTGTACCTGCAGCCGATCACCAAAAGCTACTCCAACCATAAGTACGACACCATCGACTACAAGCAGTTGGATTCGCAGTACGGGACCGATGCCGATTTCAAGTCGCTTTCCGACAAAGTCCATGACAAAGGCCTCGTGACTGTCATTGGTGCATCCATGGCGACCTGATGGACATGTCAGTGTGCGCCTTTTTGTTCTGAAGGCATGAAGTTGGTGCTCGACTTCGTGTTCAACCACTGCGGCAAGCGATGTCAGCTGGTGAAGGAGAGTGGAAAGCACAAGCTGTGTGAGTCTCTCTGTCTGTCTGTGTGTGTGTGTGTGTCTGTGCGTGCGTGCCACGGTTCTTGTATGGCAGGATGCACTTGCAGATGCATCCTCTCCAAAGAGGAAGTATTTCTTCATGGGGGACGAGTACAAGCCGCATGGATACAAGGCTCGTATGTAGTAATCGGTGTAGTAGCCTTCAGCGACTCCAGTAAAACCGCCTTCCATGTACGAAGCTTGCCCGTTGTTTTTTCCAAGCAGAGCCCTTTCTCCGAGAGTTGAAGCACAAGTCCACCATAAGGAAATCCAAGACCTTGCAATGAAGTTGGTGCAGGTGTGGGGCTGTGCACCGGCTTTGGTCGAGTTTGCCTTGGAAAACAAGGCCAACCTTGCCCGTGGGGAGCCACAAACAAGAGACATCCTCCAACGATCCTGTCTGCAGCAAAGATGTTGTGCACGAGCGTTGCATATGTAAGTGTGCACGAGTGTGTGGATACAGATAGGTATGAGTCAAATACCATTTTTATCTATGCCGCACCACTTATTGCTCGAAAGTCAATATCAGTCGGGCTCAACTTGGGTGGGCTTGCGGTAATTCAGCGTGTTCAGGAGGTGTTTGAGCCAGACTTGCCCAGAGACACTCGCGCACACGCATCAACACAGTCAAGGTTAGGTCCAGGTGTCCAGAGGAGAAGACCGCTGTCATGGACCCTGTGCAGGAGCTGCAGAAGCATCTGTGGGATGCCCCAGATTCGGCCCTTGCCACCTGGCTGTCGAAAGGCGCAGCGTGAGCGATGGCTTTGGGGTGTCCTCCTGCGGCCGCGCGGGTGACCGTTCCCGGCACAGGTGCTGATGGAGCGCGGCTGGATGTTGCCTCGGAGATAGGCCTGGCCAGTCGGTTCGGTGGCCACAGGAGCAATTGCGCAGCAAACGTTTGGCCGGTGCAGAGGCCTGGAGCTACTGGCCTCCATCACACGTGCAGCTCACAAGTACAAGAAGGACAGTCCGACAGCTCAAACTCGTGACTCCTTGCAACGCTCACCATTGCAGGGCTCAGCATTGACAAAATTGCAGACTTAAGGACAGCTTGGTGATAGGAGAGGTTTGGGCGAACCTCGCCAGCAGCAATTTTCAGTCGTGGGTCACCGATGCGCAGTGATGCGCATACTGCGGCTCATGGCATTGCCAACATCCAGTTGCAGAAGATCCGAGGTATTCACCTCATTGGACACAGTCCATGGATGCAGTGACTTGGACTGCTAGCCTGTAGATGTTTATGCGCAGCCTGCACATGAAGAAAGGTCATGAGCCTCCACATGGGTGTGCTCGTCTACGGGCTGGCTGAGGGTGTTTTGCCTGGGCCGTCTGCTGCACAAAGCCTGTCGAGGTGAGCTCGGGCAAAGTGTTTGGCAGCTCAAGGGTCAAGCGCTGATCTCCTTAAAGTCCTTGTTTCTCTGCGAGGATGATTGCAGATTCCAGCATGGACGAGGCCAATGTTTTGGTGAAGCCAACAATGGAGAGTACACACCGACGAACCGACGGCCAAGTCACTGTGCAGGTGCTGAAATGCTGGATTGTCGTCAGCAATCACGACATGCCGCGGTTAGCTCACAGGCTACCTGATCTCCAGGCTGAGCTCATGCTTCTATTCATCGCTGCTATGTGAGCCTCCTGCCCTGCCCTGCCCTGTGCTCATGGCATGTCCCAGCCAGTCAGAGGCGCGGAAGTTTGCCCAGTGCCTGCAATTTACCTGGCCGGGATGCCCATTAATTTACTACGGCGATGAGCTTGGATTGGAAGGCGGCGAGGACTGCTGGGTGTAGAATAGAAAGACTAGTGCGGCTAGTCGGAGATCGTGCTGGTGGGCAGGACCCCCACAACCGAGCTCCAATGCCGTGGGAGCGCAACAACGACCAGAATGAGATGTTAAAGCATACGAAGATGCTGATGCTAGCCCTGCCTTACTTTAAGTCTTATGTTGATGCCAGTGAGCTCCGGATTACAGGCAGCAATCAGGGAATTAGATGAAGCAAGCTGAGGATTCAGCTCCGGAAGAGCAACCGAACCTTGAGAATAGGATCCTTGGCTGCATGAAAGCCTAAGAAGAAGAGCAAAGGCCTGGTAGGGCAACCGAGTTGCTTGCAGCCAAGGCGATTACCGGGACTTGCCTACCACGAAGCTGATGGCATTCATTCGCACCACCGATCGTGTGCCTGGGTTCAACATTGGACCTAGCGGGGCTTTGGCTGTGGTCGCATGCGTTCCTTGCAGGTCAGCGATGTCATGATCGTCCTTGCAAACCCTACATCGGAGGTCGTCAAGGAGCAATCAATCTGAGTCTAGATGGGAATCAACCACCCACGGGTTTGTCAGGAGATGGTAGTGGTGCCTGTGCCGGCCATTCTGGGCCATACGCTGTTCAAGGACGACCTTCCCGCCAGCATAGTCCTGCCAACGCATGTGCTCCCGCATTTTCCCGGGGCAACCGCAACAGGCAAAGCGCCCACAGGTCGTCAGTCAAAAGGGGGAGAGCCTCATGTAGCTCGCATCGAAAGATTCCTGCAGTGTCAGGATCAGCTGAGCGGAGAGGAGTCTGCTGGATGTGTTTGCAGTTGCCAGTACTTCACTTGAGCGGGGCGCACAGTGTGAAGGCGCCGCCCTTTTCAGGAGATGCGGCTGCTCGGCTCCACGTTGACCGTGGATGTAGCTCCGAAGACGGCCCCTCGTTGGAAATACTGGGTTGCGTGGATCCGGAGCTGGCAAGAGCGAAGTGCGTTGCTGCATGTTCGTACTCGATGGGCATTACTTCACGGCAGTTGCCACAGAACCTGCTTTGGTAGATGGGCGCGGCTCTTCAAAGTGAGCTGAGGTACGAGTGTATGCGATGGTGAATGAAGTTGGAAACCCGAGCGGGGACCAGTATAAGCGCACATGGGGTCATTGGGCTTCATTCCCCAGTGTGAAGCCTTAGATTTTCTGGCCCGCTCACAGATCCTGGAAAGGGCGACCTGTGCCGGCCCGTACTGTGCAGCATGCGTGTTTCTTCGCGACGGTGAACGGCTCAGTGAACAGCTGTGGCGTCGGCGAAGATGTGATGTCTTCCTGCCTGTCCCCAACACCACCACTGCCATTTACTGCGAACCCTAAGCTCAACAACACAGGCTGTGAACAGGGCCACAGGCTCCGGTGCTTCATTGGGCAGAGGCAGAGAGATATCAACTTTTAACTTTGCACATCTCGAGAGCCTGCTGAACTTTGTGTGATGCCTGGTTCCTCGACGTGCCTGCCCTGCCGGGCTTGCCAGCAGGTCATGGATTCGATGTCACTTTAACTATATGCAGGAAAAGAGGTTGTGCTGCATGCCAGCGGGGCTGGTCTTCGAAACCGGCATGGTGTCAAGAATGAATACTTGCGTTTGCAGCCTTGCAGGAAGAACCACACCTTCCTCACCACCGCTTGCGGCAGCTTGTGCTCTACATGCGCTGTCAAGAAGCCGCAGGTGTTTTGCGCCAACTGCGAGGCCGGCAGAGTGGATGAGGGCTTCCATGACGATCAAACATGAACGATGTGGCGCACGCAAGTCGTACGGCCCAGAATACGTGCTGTTGCGGGTGGTCGTTGCACCAATATGAAGAAGCACTTCGGTGCTCGAGCTGGGGTCAATATTCACACCATGATGTGTTGGTAAGTCTTCAGGACTACTTCTGCTTCAAGTGCTTCGAAGACATGCATCGACGCGGGAACCGACTGCAACACAAGTCCATGCTGGTGAGCGTGTCAGCGCCCGACTCAGAGGATATTGCGGTAGCGAGTGCGAACAGCAGTTCGCCATCCAAGGCGTCGCGTGTTCAGGTTTGCATGTTGCCATCACGGCACGAATGCTTGTCAGAAATGTATGGTGCCTGAAGGGGCGCAGGATCCAGATTCACAAACTGTGAAGTTGGACCTGATTCTCTCACTTTCCCCATCTCGGCCATGGTGTGCTCAGGATGGTGATGTGATAGAGCCTCAAAAGCGCTGCGAGGCCAGTCCTTCCGGTTGCAAGGGCAGGGCAATGATTATTAGATGTCAGCAAAGTTTGCGTGCGAGAGGTGCCTTTGTATGGCAACGGACCATGAACAGAGCTGTGCAAAGCGACACATGCTGCAGGAATGTGAAGATCGTCCAGCTGCCTTTGCATGTGTAACGCAGCTGAACATAGCTTTAGTACGGGCTCAGGTTCGTCCGTGAGTAGGTGGTGTGCGTGCAGATTATCATAGTGCTGTGCCGTGGGCGGATTTCATGAGGTTTGACGCAGTGGAGGGAGGAACCACGATGGGTTTGATGCTCCGTACAGACTGCGTGGCCGTGGTGTCAACAGATCTGTTGAATTCATTTGATGAGATCTTAGAGACGTTTGTAAGTGCTTGTCGTGCACCCCGCACAAAACGTGCATCGCTCCCGTCGACAGAGCAGCTAGGGCTAGACAACCGAATCCCTCTCTTGATAGGACATCGGCCCAGACGCATGTTGGATTCGAGGATTATTGCCTGGACAATTACTGCGTGCAATGCTTCTGGAAATGCCACTTCAACGGCCGCTCGACGGCAATGCTGGAGGACCACGTCAGAATTTTCACCGAGACCCCTTGTCGGGAGGCTTTCACTGTGATGCTTCCGTGACGTGAATTCCTGTTCGGCGTTTGTGCGTATAGTGCCAGCTGGCGATGCTACTGCAAAGGCCACCGGCGCCAGCATACGGCGTCCAAGGCTCGTGCACATACCTGGAGCCGGGTCCGTGCACACCGTAAAACTCAGTTCTCCAATACCCAACTTTTCGACTGTTTCGGTTATTGTCAATTATACTAATTATACTTAGTGGCAATTTGAAAGTGTAACCTTTCGTTTCCCTGGCTTATTGGGGAAGTAAGAAAATGAACGGCGGCATCTTAGTGCATACATGGTGTCATGTGTCAACAACTGTCGCAATGCTTCGTCATTGGTGACAGTCCTTCCAACATCAGAAGCAATCTCAGACACTTCTGCTTTGTGCCCGAAGCTTTTTACTATAGTTGACAGGCATGTGCGAATCGACCCACCTCAACGCATTGAGATGCTTCTCGATGGAAGGTGGCGGTGGTGCCCATGTGCAACCAATGCCAGAATGTTCGCGCCACGATCTTCTCCGAGCAAACGCAGGAGTTGATGTGCACAGACGCTGAAGTTGCAATTCCATTTTATGTGCGTTCGAGTGTGGTCTCAAGAGTGTTTCAGTGCAGTAAGACATGTAGTGGTCGATTCGATTCCCACCCTCAACTTTAGCATGCACTTGGCACCTTAAGGAATGCTTCACTATGCTTCACGCCAAGGGCAACCGGATGTTTCCTGGCATCAGTCAGGAAGACATGTTGGCCACGTTACAAGTTGTTTTCTCTGGCCTTCCGGATTCCAGGTTACACTTGTTCATGGACTCGATGGCTAGCTCCTTAGCCTGGGGCAGTGGGCCAATCTGAAGTCCAACTCAGCAGAGCTGTCGCGAAAGAAGCGCTCCCAGATCTGGAAATGTTCGTGTGCATAGAGCTGAGGATTTGCTGGTGCTCCTAGAACGCCTGGATCCTGCTTTTCAGGAGTCCCCGATGTGGTCCCTGGTTTAGCATTGGTGCGATTCTGCGGCTTGCAACAGGAGCACATGCGTAGAGCTCGGCCTCGTGTTCTTTGGGCACTTAGCCAGTTGCAAGGTCCGGGATGCATTCAAGCCAAACTGCCCACTAGCTGTCCGTGCTTGCGGATCTTTGTGGCAGGTTGGGTGAAGGGTATCGAAGCACGTCGCAACTTCAAGAAGAGAAAGGACCTAGTTCGGACCATGAGAAGCGTTGAAGACGTACTTGCATGCGACGTTGTTGGCCGACTGCTCCGGGTCTGCTTTGTCTGGCCAAGAAGCTGCAGGACGTGGTCTTGATGATCCAGCGGCGCTGGCGAGGTGTGCTGACACGGCGCCGTTTGCTGGGTGGCACGGCTGTCAGATTAAATATGACGTCTCCTGAAAGCTTTCTCTGGTGAGTCTCCTTTTTCAGTGTTTTTGCTCGCGTGTGCGCACGTTGGGGGTATGGCAATTTGAAAGCTATCTCGTTGAACCCAGGCATGCTGCACATGCACAAGTGGCGAAGGACACTGGGCCTTAGTACACACCTGATGCCTTTGCTGGGATGCCGAAGCTGGCATCCGTTTGCTCGTTCGGTCTTTTCGAAAGGCGCCAAGTGAACAATTATTTCCTCCCCAAGACCGCGGCAGAGCGACGGGCGGTGAAGCAGAAGACCACGGCCATGTTGTCTGCCAAGGTGGGAGCAGGGTGGGGCTAAGGCTCGCCGCAAGGCGTCAAGGTTGGTGATACATGAAATGACCTCGACCTCACAGGATGTGACCACCCGTGCGGCCAACCAGTCATTGCGGGAGTTGCGGCAAACAATCCTTTCAACCGCCAATGCAGATCCTCTGGAGGAGTGCTGGAGTTGTTGCTCTGTCGTTCTGCTCTGCTGCAGATGTACTTAGATCTGCTCCTCCACCATGCAGGATGCGCAGCTGACCCGCGATCAGATGGAGGAGCACCGTGGGATTTAGGGAACTCTGCACATCCTTGGGCGGTTCTGGGCTTTGGTGCTAAATGTGCTAAATTGTGGCCAGGCTTTGCCCGGAGCCGTGGACAACATGGCCGCCACTGTTTCCGGCTTCGGCGGCTTTGGCGGCGGTGCACCTTCGGGTGCCCAGACAGCACCGCCTGGTGGCATCTCGCCATACACCAGCTACGAGCAGAGCTCGCGCTTCAACGGGGCGATAACGGGGCCGGCGGGAGCTGCCACGACGCAGGACTTGTCCAAAAAGGACATCCGCAACACCCGAGACAGCACCCTCCGGCAGATCACACGTCTGGACTGAGCTCGAAGCTCGACTCGCGTGCTTGTCTGGCGGTGATGTTTTCCTCCTTCATGCAGGCCGTAAGGTGCCTAACCGTTAAGCTAGTCTATCAAGGGCTGGAAAGGAGAGCAAGAGTCTACTGGTCTGCAGAGTTTCACTGAAAGCCTTGCGGAGGGTTGGGCAGGTTTGCAGGTTGTAGTCTTCATCGCTAGCTTTCTGCACACTGGCAGCCCAGCCCTCCGATCATGCAGCTGGGTGGATGGTGTCTAGGCTCCACTTGCATGTTTCACTAAGCCACTAGAGGCACAGAACTGTTTGCAAGTTGCATGCGTCGAGGAATAAGTTGTAGTAGGTTCCGACAAAGTCCCGATGCTAAGGCCTCTGTTGCCTTCACTGGACCTTCGCATGCTGTGTTTGCCCGCTTCTGTCTGAAATCGTGGAAGGCCACAACGTATGGCCAGCTCCTGGCATCGAAGGCAAGACATTGCCGAGCTCTTTGTAGCAGGTGGGATTCGTTGAATCTCCCTGACTCGCATTTGTTTTGCTCAATGTGCAGCGTCGGGAGTGCTCACACATCGAACGCGATCTACAGCGTGGCCGGAGCTTGCTGAGTAGCCTCCGCAACACGCAACAAGAGGCTGCAAGCCTGCACGCATTACACAGGCCTAATTTTGCGATATCTTGCACAAATTTGCGTCTTGTTCGTTGCCCTTCCTTCGTGCCATGGCTTCGTGCCTGGATGATGTAACATTGGATGAGTGGCCGAGCAGCACATGCGCTCGCATATGTGTCGTGCACAGGTACAGCAAGCTCTGACTGCTCGGGTGACAGACGCATGTCTGCTCTGGATGCGGGGTGTCCAACCAGGTCGGGCTACAGCCGGGTGAGGTGTCATGGCACGCCAGAGCAAATGGTAGCGCAGCTGCAGCAAGTCTTTCGGACGAATGCATCTCGAAAGTGATGACCAATGCCGGGCTTGCCAACCTGTCCAGCATCTGTCCAGGCTCGCTTCATCGAGCGTGTCATCGTTTCATTTGGCTATGAGGTCTCGCCACCCTGAGTATTTTGGCAGACTGCTCCCTCCGTAGTCCTTGAAGTGAAGCTGGCCATCGTACAATGCGACAAATCTCATCAGCCTCAAAGCTGTTTACATGCCTGAGAGGCTCTGCCGCTGGCGTCTGTAGAGAGCTTGGCTCGAAAGCACATCAAAATCGGCGGCTCTTTTCAGGCCTGGCTGTGAGGAGGGACATCATGATCGCTCTGTCTAGACGTGGGTTATGTCGTGAGGAGCTCCTGCAAGATCTCAGGGAGGCGCCTGTTGCATGTCATGGGGCAACAGCCCTCATCCGCCCTCCAGTCTCCGATGCGAGGAAGCTGCGCCGACGCCGTCGACAGCCTCTGCGCCCTCAGCGCCCTCGGCGCCGCCCCCCTCGGCACCCAGTGACTTCCATGCGAAAGATGTTTTTCCAGATGCCGGGCAAGCGCTGCGTCTTCCGGCTTATCTGAGACTGAGGCTCTGAAGGAACATTGTACTTTTGTTTGGCAGCAGTTTGAAGTTGGAGCGCGCTAGCCTGACTAGAGGTCCTGGAGCAACTCACGCTGCGAGCTCCAGTTCCACGCAAAGTGCCGAGATCAGCTTGGATGGCTTCACCTTGGACAGTGTGGATTCTTCGGAGACTTTGGTGCTGGCATCATCTCCTTGGTCCTTGTTTCGCAGACGCAGCTTCCAGCTTGTTATCCGGAACCCCCGAAATCCGGCAGTTGGTCTGCTAGTCTTCGTCAGCAGTGATCATTCTGAAGTGGCTGCAGCCGCGCAGACCATTGTAGCACAACTGGGCCCAAGTGTGCAGAGTTTGGCCCAGCCCAATGCATATGAGGCGCTGCAGAACAACCCCGCGCTGCTTCAGAACCTGGCAACCAGCCCGTCAGGTGTGGCGACGGAGCTCTGCATCCCCACAGCACCTTCAGAGGAGGTCCACCCGGAGGAGGAGCACGGAGAATGTCCAATCTGTTTCGAGGCGATCCACCCCGGTGAAGCTGCCATGCGCTGTGCTGGCCAGGGGGGTGTTCACCACTACTTCCATGCCCATTGTCTACAGTCTTGGGTTTCATCATGCCGACAAGGACGTGAGGCGACTTGCCCGGTGTGCAGAGGCCAGCTTCAGATGAATGGGCAGCGGCTGCAGGCCTTCCTGAATGGCGAAGCATCCGATTCGCTCTCCGAGGACGACCGAACTTACCTTCAGAACATTGCGGATGGCCTGCGTGGGAAGAACCGATGGCAAGAGATGAACAAACTCGAGAAGGCAGCCTACGCTGGAGGTATTTTAGCCGCCGCCGGCTGGGGCTTCATGTTAGGCTTTAATGAGCAAGAGCATCGCGTGACCCGCTACTTGGCACTGGACGTTCTTCCAGCAGAACATCGAGTGGCACAGGGGGTCGGGTGGATTGTCGGAGTGTTGGCATGGTATTTACGGAAGAACCTGCGCGAGAAGGAGGAGCAGCAGCGCAGGCGGGAAGACCGGAGAGGCTAGTGGTAACGCTCGGCCAGGTATCAGACTGGCCTGAGGAATATTGATTCACGCAGTTCCCCATCCGATGCAAGCGCCTAGATGCTTGAACAGGCGTCAGACAGCGCATTGATGTTTCTTTCGGCTGCCTAAGGCAGCCAGTCATGTTGTGTTTGGGTACCCTGATAGCTTGATTTAGTCGCTGGTTACGACCGAGACACTGCACAGGTCAAAGTCGTGAAAGCGTCAAAACCCAAGTCCTCCGGTTCCACTGTGCTCAACGAGCAGATTCTCCACGAAGCTGACTAAGAGCAGGAAAGAGGAGCATGATAGATTTGCAGTCTGAGCCATAGCCAGTGTTCTCAAGGATGGCTGTGTTACAGAAGTTCCAGCTGTCCAGCCTTGCATAAGAGACAGCATGGAACTGCTGCGCACCCGAGTGTGTGAGTGGCAACCTGTCGGCATCGACTCGCTGGCCATCGCGCCCTCGGGTACCGGTTCATCACCTCGTCTGGCTGTTGGACGGGAGAGCCCAGGACGAACAGATATGTCCTTGTTCGGCAGAAGTGCTCCTGTCTCTTTATGCAGTCGGTGCCCGCGCATACGAAAATGATTCGAGCAGGACACTAACCAACCAACAGGGGTGTACGTATGTATGTATGTAGAGTACGTATGTATGTATGTATGTATGTATGTACATATGCATATATGCATACACACACACATATATATATATATATTACATTATATTATGCTATATTATTATATATCACATTAGATTATATTTAGATCATATTAGATTAGATTAGATTAGATTATAGTNNTATTATACTATATTATACTATAGTATGTTTATACTATAATATACAAGTGCATTATATACATAATATGCAAGCTATGCAGGCCTTCGGACAGTTTTCAGCCTTCCTTACTGCTTGCAGTGTGAGAGGAAAAACACATTGGCTTTATGGTGTATCTGTCCTCTGTGAGCTTCAAGGTCGCATTCCGAAGCTCACGGACCTTGGTGCCTCACCGTCGTCTGGCAATGTAATGCTAGCTACTACTAACGTACAGGACCCTTTAGATAAGCAAAATCAGCAGCATGACAAGTCTCAGTGTCATGACACTAAAAAGCACGAGAGGCCACGGCGATGTTCTTAAATGTTTCCCGTATAAACCGGCAGGAAAAGCAGCACTGTCAGCAATAATAGAACTGCATTACTAACGCATTCGTTGGATGGCTCCTCGTAGTAGCAGTCGTGGTGGTGGTG